CCTGGCCCATCATCAAAAACAAAACAGCAACAAAAACAAACAGGACACAATGCCACCGAGTTAATTCCAAGCCATGGAGATTCTGCAGGACAGCCAGCACAGAAAAGAACTGTTCAGGGTCCCCAGGACTGTCCCGGATGGGAGCAGATGGCCACCTCTCGTCCATGGAGCAGCTGGTGGCTTCAAAAGGCCAGCCTTTTTGCTAGCAGCCAAGTTCTTTGAGCACAGCTCAAATAAAACCCCAAAGCAACCCTACTTGGTTACTGGTGAGTACTGTCAGGTCAGATCCGACCCACAGCTGACCCTCCTGGGGTGTTTCAGAGGCTGTAAATCTCACAGGAGGACAAAGCCCATGTTCCTCCTGCGTCTCATGTTTCAGAAGCCCAGTCTTCCTGAAGGAGGCTGTTAATCTTCTCATCCTATACAGCAATGGTTGATCCCAAGTAGTAAACTTTTGGTTACCAATCCAACACACTACCCACGGTGCCACCAGGGGCCTTCCTTTAGTGAATAAAACTACAGCTCACTGTCATATAGTCAGAGCCGACCCAGAACTGACCCTTGAAGGTTATTCAGAGGCTGTAAATCACATGTCTATTTTTCTCCTCGAGAGTTACCAGCAGAGTCGAACTACCTGCCTTTGGGTTGGCCGGGAAACTCTTTACCCACTAGGCCACCAGAGCTCCCTTCTTTAATTAATGATGTTGTTGTTGTTGTTGTTGTTGATGGCCATCAAGTCGAGCACAACTCATAACGACTCTATGAACAAAAGACCTAATGCCTTTCCATAACTCGTCATTTCTCCAAGTTCGTAGAGTTTCCAGAGGCATATGGTTTAGGAAGTGGATGCCACTCCTGCTTCCAAACCTTTTTTACAACTGGGAGCTCCACCAAACACTGTCCACATTGGGAAACCATTATGGTATTTGATACCCCAGTGGCACAAGGTTAAGCATCACTGCAAACCCAGGTTACTTCATACTGCACATTGACAAAGAGTGATGTACAAAGTGGAAGAGTGTTCCTCCAGATATAACAGCACTGATTTCACTTAGCAGTGGTTAAGTGTCGTCAAGTTGAATACAACTGAGAGTAAGTTATGCACAAAAGACCACATGTAACAACAACGCTTCTGTTTGAGCATTTAGAACATGATCATCTACCAAAGAGTTATGGTGGCCTAGTGGGTAAAGAGAGTGCTGTCAACCCAAAGGCAGACAGTTCAAATCTACCACCAGCTGCTCTATGGGAGAAAGATGGTCAGTTCCCTCCCCCCAACCCCCCATGGAAGTTACAGCCTCTGAAAACCTGCTGGAGGATGAGCTACGAGTCAGGTCTGACTTGGCACCAATGAGTTGTTTAGAGTTTTTACTGTAAAGGGTGGACCTAGTTCTTCCCATCTCCAACTTCCAGGGCCCCTGTCCCACCATTGCCATGTGGCCCTGTCCCACCATTAGTAAGTGTCCATGCCCCACTGTTTCCATGTGCCCTCGTCACATCATAACCAAGTGTCCATGCCCCACTGTTTCCATGTGGCCCTGTCCCACCATCGCCATGCAGTCTACTCACAGAAACCCTACAGGACAGAGCAGAACTGTCTCATGAGGTCTCTACGGTTGTGGTCCCTACAGAGCTGATGGTCTCATCTTCCTCCCAAGGGCATTCAAACCTCTATTTTGGGTTAGTGACTCAGTGCTTTGGTCGCTGCCCCTTGAGAGTGTCTGAGACAACATTTCCCATTATTTAAGCAAGAGCCCAGGTGGGGTGATGGGTAACTGTACAGCTTTCAGTGGGAGGACAGGCTTGGGGATCTGTTTGTAAAGGTTCCAGCCCTGGTCATCCTCGGGGCAGTTCTAGTCTCTAACACAGAGGGGGTGGGAGCCCCTCAAGTGCACCTAAGAACAACAACATCCACCACCAAACCCCAAACATCCTGATCAAGCTGTTCATCTCCTCAGGTGCATCTGATTCAGGCCACGGTCTCCTCAATCACCTGCTAGGTATCTGAGAGCTGGACAGTGACTAAGGACGATAGAAGAAGAATCGATGCCTTTGAACTGTGGTGCTGGAGAAGAGAGCTGAACATTCCATGGACCGCCAAAAAAACAGACGTCTTGGAGAGGATGCGACCGGGGTGCTTTCTGGAGGCAAAACTTTGTTTCTCTTACTTTGGACACATAACTAGGCGAGGCTATTCTTTGGAAAGGACATCATGCTTAGAGCCGTCTGGGCGCAGCCACTCTGTGAGGTCCAGCTCGCTTGCACTTTTTCTAGGAAACCCTGGGGACACAATGGTTAAGGATTCAGCTCTCAACCATGAGGTCAGTGGTTCAAACCTCACCAGCCACTGTGCAGGTGGAGGGTGTGACTATGACTGTGTGAAGATTTACACTTTTGGAAACCTTCAGGGGCCGTTCTGCTCTGTCCTTGATGGTTACAATGAGTCAGAAGTCACTCGCTGGCAATGGGTCACTCTGTCTACCTGCTACTGTCACATGAAGCTACTTGGAAAATATGGGTGTTTCAGGACACTGAGGGGTCAAGTTTCCACTGAGAAGCACCCTTGTTATCTGCAGGAGGTGGCTGGAAACACTAACAATTAAACACACCTGCTCTCTCTAACAAAATGCCCCAAAGACGTCAGTACACAGTGAGGGTCTCCAGTGGGGCCAGGCTTGGCCACTGATCCACTTTAAACCGATTACCGTGATGGAGATGAGCTCCACAGAGCAAACTCAACACAGGCAGGTAAGTGGAAAGGAATGAGTGACCCAGTGCAGCAGGAGAACGGGCCAAGGCTGAGTTGTAGTAGGAGCTACTGAGCTGAGTACGACTCACAGTGACCCTGACAGATCTGAACCCTGTCCTATCCTGCGTCATCTTCATCATTTCTGACAGACCTGAGCCCACTGCTGCAGTCACTGCGTCAACCCATCTCCCCGAGGGTCTGCCTTTCTTTTGCTGACCCTCCATTTTTCCCAGCACAATGTCCCTTTTTAAGGAATAGCCCCTTCCAGCAACATGTCCAAAGTATGTGAGGAGAAGCTTTGTCATCTCAGCCTCCGAGGAGCGCTCTTCTCCAAGAGACTTTTATCCGGACTTCTGGCACTCTATGGGATAGTCAGTGTTGTTCTCCAACACCACGGCGCAAATGAAAAGAAGAACTGAGTATTTGGTGAGCCTTCCAATTATAGTCACTGAAACTATGGGGCAGGTTATCAGGCAGGGCTAGTTCCTGGACAGAGGACAGCATGCTGGGAAAGTAGAGGGTCAGTGAAGCAGAGGACCCCCCTCCCCGGAGATGGGGTGACACAGAGAGTGTGACAAGGGCTACAGCACAGCCATGACTGGGTGGACGGTGCAGCACCTGCTTGCATGGGTCCCTAGGAGCAGCAGTCGATGTGATGACAACAAAAATGTTGTTCTGAGGGTAAAAGAAGAAAGTAGATGAAGGGACTGATACATTAAAAAACAAAAAAAAATCTGACGTACCAGACAGGCCTATCTGAGGGAACCACACAACCAATGCATGCTGGTTAGGAGAGGCACGCCTGCCCTGAGGTCTCCCTCCTGGCACATGAGACAAGCCTATCAGCTCCTCATCAATTATTAC